AGCAGTGTGATCAAAATATACAGGCTACTCTCCCTCTAATCCTCAGAATAATCCTGGAAGCATTTTACCAAAGGGAAAATTGAGGCCTAAGGAGGAATAGTAACTTGCCAAAAATCACATAGCTAGTGGGCAGCCAGCAGAGACAGGATTTGAACCCCTTTGATCTAACTCCAGCGCTAACACTAACTATTGCAGCAGCAACTCTGCCTCCCCACGGAAACAGGCACCCTTCACTATTCACTCTGTGTGCTTGGTGGGCAGTCTGGAGAATGAAAGTTCCAGACTAAACTACAAAATGTCACATAGCCATGTAAGGTATATTTAGGTCAATCAATACAATCTGAGTGGGGAAGTAAGAGTCTTTGATGTCACAGGCTTTGGGACCAACCAACCACAGGTGAAGTCTCTTTCCCTCATCTATTCCCTCAGTCTCACAAGCTCTCCGTGCACATACTCTAAGAGTCACAACTCCTTTGCAGCTCTCAACCTGCTATGGCCCTCCTGGGACAGGAAGGTCAGAAACTGCTCCTGCATCAGTAGCTCTAAGATCTGCTTCATGGTGTGCATCTCAGTCCAAAGCCACCAAACCATGGCAAAGCTCCAGGAGCCACCTAAGGATTTCTCCAGGGGTTAAAGGCAGAACCCACAGAAGTGCAGACAGGAGGCCTTCATTCTGGCCCTTTGGTCAGCAGGGACAGCTCCTGGCTCCATGTGCAGGAATATCTTCAGTTTTACAATCAGGCCATTGTCAGACTCGTGGATTATTTCGGCCTTGAAATCAACCTCAACTTCAGGCAAAATTTTCCCTAGCACCTTTTGCAATAATAAACAGCATGTGCAGGAGTCAGTGTTGTCGAGGCTTTTTGTCCCAACCCATAAACCCAACTCTATCCCTGGCAGAGCTGTTTCCAATACTTTGGTTTCTGAGGGTTTGGAGACATGATGCACCCACCTGCTTATATTGTTTCCATCAGGGTCCATGAAAAGGCACAATGGCAGATAGCTTTCTACTCTCTGTCTTAAACCTATGCAGGACTGGATGCTGCTCTCACATCAGCACTAAAGTCTGATGTCCAAAAAACAAATAGTACTGGCTCCAGGCCAAAGTGATGACAACTTTACCAAATGAGAACATAGCATCTGACTGCCCTACAACTTACCACTGACCACCCGGGAGGGAAAATCTGACTCCAGGAGTGGGACCATCAAGGACCAATTGGAAAACAATAGAGGTGGGGCATCGGACAAACATCAAAACCATAGATCCCTCTGATGGTAGCTGAAAGGTAAGAGAAATAGAAGGGTTAGATAGGTGGACACTCTGGTCTTTAAGAGAAGAAAATACAAAGTTAGATCAAGGCCATTATGAGCTGTGAATCAAAGAATAGAGTCACAAAGAAAGCTTATTAAAATGGAAATTCTAGCCTTGGCTGGTGTGCCTCGGTTGGTTGGAGTGTCATCCAGTACTGTGAATTCTAGAGCTATGGCAAGATCCAGTGCCTCAGAGTGTTGTGATGGGTCCCAGAAATATAATTTTTTATTTTTTATTTTTTAATATATTTTATTGATTTTTCACAGAGAGGAAGGGAAAGAGATAGATAGCTAGAAACATTGATGAGAGAGAATCATCGACCAGTTGCCTCCTGCACACCTCCCACTGGGGACGTGCCGGCAACTAATGTACATGCCCCAGACCAGAATTGAACCTGGGACCTTTCAGTTCGCAGACCCACGCTCTATCCACTGAGCCAAACCGGTCTCGGCAGAAATATAATTTTTTAAACAAACTCTGCCTAGAAATTCAGCCTACATATAGAGGTTTGAGAATTACTGGGCACATCATGATAGATTTTCAGGAGGGCAATATGGACTTTAAGAAAGACTTTATCTGCCGAGATTAACTCCCCATGGTCAACCCAGGGCCCAAATTTAATAAATAATAAGAGCTTACCAGCTATTTGCTGACAGGGGCTTCCTCAGGGGAATTCAGACTGAACTCTGAGCTTCCAGCACAGTGCCTGGTTTGTGACATCTCAGTCAACCACTACAGGGAAACACTGGTTTCCTCTTTGCTCCCTTTGACTGAGAACTGCCCTATCCATTCAGAACTTCATATTTGGATACTTCAGTTACATAAAGCAGACATAATTGAGAATCTGAGCAAGAACTTTCACTTTAAAAGACAGCCTCCCCTTTGTCTCAGTGGAGGAAAATAGAAGTTGCTACCTAAATCTGTGTCTCCTGAGCTGCAGCTCCTTGGGGGCAAATAAAAGCATTTTATTCTTTATTACAGTCTAAAATTTATTTTGGTTTCCATTCCCAACCGCTCCTAGTATTCTGGAGCTGCAGGGAGAGAAGCCCTGGCTAGGATCAAGAAATGACAGGCCCCACCCAACCCCCTGGGACTTAGAGGCCTCGAAGACCGGAAATGGAATCCTTTCCAAAGAAAAGCTCCAGCCCCTCGAACGTCAGCAATCTTCCATCCACATCCCCCACCCGCAGGGAAGGGTGGCCTGCGGCCTGCTGGGAGTTGCAGTCCGCCGCGTGGCCCCACGCCTGCGCACTGGATACTGCACCAAGCGAGCTGGGAGAGCCGTGGGCGCCCAGGCGGTGAGTCCCGGTGCGTCCGGAGGGCGTGGCCGTCCCTGGGGCGCGGGGAGTGGGGCTCCCTTCCCTTATGGGCTCCAAAAATTTGCAGCCTCCAGGCCTGACCTGGTGGCGGGCCCCTGTCCCGCCTGGGTCCCCGCTGCCGCTCCTTGAGACCCGGCTGGGCCTTCCCGGGGGTCCTCTGGGGCTGGCGTCGCCCCTCCAGGAAGCGACACATCTACGCCTGGAAGAGCGCTGGGGCCGCGCCCTTGGCCACCAACATTCGATTTTACACCGGCTTTTAGGCATTTAGGGACGTGTCCCCCTATCCTTTCCCCTGGTGCCCTCTTTTCACGACGCCCAGTGCCTCTTTCCGCCCATCTCTCTATCCACGGCCCGGTGAGCGCGGGCTCATTCCGGAGGGTTTGGAGAGAAGCCATCAGCCCCGAGGGGAAGTGAAGTTTTCATCCGGAAGGGCCGATGGGAGGAAACCCGGAGGGTCCATTCCGTGGGAGACGTGGGGTAAGGTTTGGATCAGTAAGGGAAGAGCTGCCCAGCTGTGAGGCTGGAGTACACGAAAGGTGGGTCCACAGATTTAGCCGTCAGGGTTCCTGGATGCCCTCCAGCGACCCTTAAGTACCTACTCGGGGGAATAGAAGCTTTCTAACAACGAGTTCTCGCGAGCAGAGCTGTCTCTTGGCCGGGCATATTGCGGTTCCCTTTCTATCCAATTGGATCGGTCAAAGACAATTTTATGAAGAGGATTTTACAAAGAGGCACAGGGTGTCATTTAAGAAATTAGCCCCGGGATGAAATGGGAACAGAATGAAGTTTTTTGGTGATATATATATATATTTTTTTTTAATTGATTTTTTACAGAGAGGAAGAGAGATGGATAGAGAGAAACATCCATGAGAGAGAATCATCAATCAGCTGCCTCTTGCACACCCCCCACTGGGGATGTGCCCGCAACCAAGGTACATGCCCTTGACCAGAATCGAACCTGGGACCTTTCAGTCCGCAGGCCGATGCTCTATCCACTGAGCCAAACCGGTTTCAGCCAGAGTGAAGTTTTTGAATGACCAGGCAGGAAGAGATTCAGGATTTTGTTGGTTTGTTTTGTTTTCCCCTTGATCCAGTCCAGGAAAGGCGACCTGTATGTGAGCTGTGTGGGTAAATTCAGAGGACCCATAGCACACGGGCAGGTACCAGTCTTCATACCTTTGCAGACATGTATGTTACCACCTATGTAACCTTGGAGATTGCACTAAAGACATTTGGATGTTTTTAGATTTGAGCATTGCAGGAGTCGATCGTTTCTAACCTCATCATCATTTCTCTGACATTTGCTATGGTTCCTGGGACATGCTATTCAGTCCTCTGAAGCCTCAAGCCTCAGTGCCCTCATCTGTATTCAGGGCATAATACCAGTGCCCACCTCCTAATATTGGGTGAGGGCTAAATGGCTTAGAACAGCACCTGGCACTTAGCATGCTGAACATGATGATAACTGTCCTTCATTATTAATGCAGACCAGATTCTTGATGGCCTGCCCTGTGCAGTGTAATTTTCTCACGAGAAAGCCACTTGGAATGCATTGCATGATGAGGTTCATGGTGATGTTGGCTAAAGTACACATACCTGAAGTGGAGGAGAATGAGGCATTGTTGAGTTGCTGCCTTTGCAAGGCATGGCTCTCCCTAAGATGCCGGTGATTGAAGGTGACTGAGGGTTACTCAAAGCTAGGTTAACTTCAGGTTTGCTCACCTCTATTGTAAGTACTGCTCCCTGGTATTTTTTCTTTGGCTTATCTATATTCAGAAACACAAAAAAAATGTTACTAGACTAAGAGTGAAGATAGCGGCCACCAGATGTATGGTATATGGGTTCATTTAAGGGAAGAGATTCTTAGCCCTGGGTCCAGGAATTCTAGAAAAGAGCTGTACAGAACTTCCTGCAACAGTGTCTACTGAGCATTTGAGATGTGAATAGTATAAATAGGAAATTGATTTTTATATTTAAATAATTTAAGCTTAAACTGCCACATGGGACTATTGTCCACCATATTGGACAGAACAATTCTAGAGGGTACATGGACGGTCTTGAAGTTTTAGTGAACTTTTTGAAACTGGATGCAGAATTTGAAGTGCTATGTGTCTTTTTCTAGGAAGTGAGTCCATTGCTTTCATCAGATTTCTCAGAACCACTGAAAATATTGCCACCTGCTACTTTAGAGCTTTGCTGAAAAGCAAGCAATTAAGGGAGATGAGAATGCCCTGTTAACCACTGCTCTTTCTCCTTTCTCATTTGACCTTTCCTCAGCTTTAGATCCTCCACCCAAGAAATATACAAAGAAACAAATTGGAGTCTGAGACTTTAGGCCCAGATAAATTGGACACTTCGGGAAGGGGGCGATGGCTGTTGCCCTGGGTTGTGCAATCCAGGCCTCCTTGAATCAGGGCTCGGTGTTTCAAGAATATGATACTGACTCTGAAGTCTTCCGTCAGCGCTTTAGGCAGTTCCAGTACAAAGAAGCAGCCGGGCCTCATGAAGCTTTCAACAAACTTTGGGAGCTTTGCTGTCAATGGTTGAAGCCAAAGCTGCGTTCTAAGGAGCAAATCCTGGAGCTCCTAGTGTTGGAGCAATTTCTAACAATTTTGCCCACAGAGATAGAGACCTGGGTGAGGGAACATTGCCCAGATAATAGAGAAAGAGTTGTATCGCTGATAGAAGACTTACAGAGAGAACTTGAGATACCAGAGCCACAGGTAAGAAAAGAGTTTGGGATCTGGATAACTATTCTAAAAGAAGTAGCAGACACATCTGGTACTAGATCAGCTATTTTGTCTTTTTGTCCCAGGACCTCATTGCAGTGATTTATATATTTTCCTTTTGTTGGAATCAGCAAATGGCTCCGTGATTCTCAATTATCAAACCAAACTCTTTAAATATTTGGTTGTGTCCCTTTTACTGTCCCATAGATAGTATAATCTACTTATATACACAAAATCAAAACCATCATATAATAAGTGCTCTGTGGCTTGTGAGCCAAAAACAGCCCAAGGTCTGTTTTTATACAGCCCATGAGCTAATAACAGTTATTACCTTTTTAAAGTATTGTTTTTTTTAAAAAAAAAGAATAGGCAACAGACCAACAGAACCCAGAAAGCCTAAAATATTTACTATCTGGTTCTTTCCAAAAACTTCTGCCAACCATAAGCCAAGTAGGGTTTAGAAGTAATATAAACGAAAAGGAAGATAGTGTCCTATGAACTAATGGGCATGTCAGCATTCACATGTCTGGGCTTGAGCACACCAGAAGACCTCGTGAAGTTGTCAGATGCTTGCCTTACTGCACAGACTTGCTGTGAAGTCAACAAGCAGAAATTCAGACCAATATAACTCACACACTATAAATGGTGTTGCTGCTGGTCATGTGATTTTCCAAAGTCACAAACAACTTTGTTTAATCTGAACAATTAGTATAGTACTTCTTTGATTTTCAAATTATTGCTTTCCTAGAAAAGTTAAGTCAAGCTAAAATTTACAAAAATATTGTGTGATTATATGACCAATAAGGTGAGGTTCTTGACAGATTCTTTTTACCTATATGAATATTTGAGGGGGGCAATCCAAAGTTGGTAAGGACCTGGAACAATTCAACATCGAGTGCATTATATTACACTCCCATCTCCGCCAACTAACATCATTGATGAGAGAGAATCATGGATCGGCTGCCTCCTATATGCCCCCCTACTGGGGATCGAGCCTGCAACCTGGGCATGTGCCCTTGACTGGAATCAAACTCATGACCCTTCATTCCACAGGCCAGTTCTCTACATACTGAGTCAAACCAGCTAGGGCTATTGGATTGATTCTTGTATGTGCCTTGACCAGGCATCAAACCTGTAACCTTGGTGTATTGGGACAACACTCTTAACTGGGCTACCTGACATTATCTATATACTACCATCTCTGCCCACTAAATTCTGATAGCTACCACCTACTACAATAGCTAAAATAACTCCTGGGGGTGGTGGCCCTACCCTCTTTCAGAACCACCTAATAAAACCTTTTTGGGGCTTGCTATAGCTGAGCATAGGACAGCTTCTTTGGAGAAGGGAGGTGGTGCTCCCAGTTAGGCATTAGTGACACTGGAGTCTTGTGTGTTGATGGGATTCTGTAGTTAGCCTTCATGAACAGGATTCTTCCAAAGTTTCCGGACCCTAGGATAGAATAGTTTATAGTTTCCCTTCCTTTCTGTGTCTCCTTGTTTGGCTTACCACGTGAAATTTTGTCTTCATGCAGTCTAATCCTGCATTGCCAGTATGATAGGCACCAGCCAAAGGTGGTTCTTGAGCACTAGAAATGTGGCTAGTCCAAATTGGGATATGCTGTAAGTATAAAATGCACACCACATTCAGAAGACTTAAGGTGAAAAATAAAGTAGGTGAAATATATTATTAATAATTCTTCATACTGATTACATTATGAAATGGTGTTATTTTATATATGTATATTTTGTTAATGCATATTATTATATTATTATTTTTTCTATTTTTTTTTTCATATGACCACTGGAAAATTTAAAATGACTTTGTTGGCTTGCATTATATTGCTCCTGGGCACTGATGGTCTAGATATTAGAGTGATGGGTTCTGGCATTTCCCCCAGATTGATAGGCAGGAACTACTCTTGGAAGACCTCGAAGCAGTTGGAATAGCAGACATATCACCAAACATCCACGTGGACGTACCCCCACTCCAAGCACTGGGACCTGTCCCCGAGCCCCCGATTGTAGATGCGTGGATCCCGCAGGAGCTGAGCTACGGTGCTGCTGGGGAAGGCCAGTCCTTTCTGGACCCTGGTAAGCCAAAGATTTTTCCTTTCCTTGATTTCTTTTTGAGAACTCGGGAGCTATCCAGGGTTTGGCTTGATTAGAAACACAGAGTAAGGGATGGAAATGGATAAAGAGTAAGTGTGGAAACGTCTCTCAGAGAATAGCTAGCCACAAAACATGTTAGATTAACTGGGATTCAAGAAGTTTATTTTTAGTGCAATAAACATAATAATATATTGACTTCTTAACCATTTTTGCATGTACACTTCAGTGGTAATGAATATACTTATAATGTTGCAAAACCATCACCACTACCTATGTCTACAACTATTTTCATCTGTAAAACTGAAACTTTGTACCCATTTACACAATAACTGCTCATTTCCACCGCCCCCAACCCCTGAATGACCATTTAAATGTTTGTCTCTATGAATTTGACTATTCTATGTACCTCATATAAATGGAATCATATAGTGTTTGTCTTTTAGAGACTGTCTCATTCACTTAGTGTAATGTCCTCAGGGTTCATTCATGTTGTAGTATATGTCAGAATTTCTATTCTTTTGAAAGTTGGATAATATTCCATTGTGCATATATATTATATTTAATATATCCATTTTTCATAAATGTATATTAGGTTGCTTCTATGTTTTAGCTGTCATGAGTAATGCTTCCCTGAGTAGGGTGTAAATCTCTTTGAGACCCTGCCTTTACTTCTTTTGAGTATATAACCAGAAGTAGAATTGCTTGATCGTATGATTATTCTATTTTTAAACTTTTGAGGAACCATCATACTGTTTTCCACAGTGGATGTAAATGTATCATTTTACTTTCCCACTAACTGCACAAGCTTTCCAATTTTTCCACATCCTTGCTAACACTTGTTATTTTCTGATTGTTTTTTTTTTTTTTAATAATAGCATTCCTAATGGGTATTAGGAGGTACCTTAATATAGTTTTTTTTTTTAATCCTCACCCGAGGATATGTATTTTTATTGACTTTTAGAGAGAGAGAAAGGGAGAAAGAGAGAAACATCTGTGTGAGAAATATCAATCAGTTGCCTTTCTTACATGCCCTGACCGGGTATCTACCTCACAACCTAGGTATGTGCCCTATCTGGGAATTGAACCTGTAAACTTTTAGTGTGTGGGACAGTGCTTCAACCAACTGAGCCACCTGGCCAGGGCTAATTGTAGTATTGACTTGAGTTTTCTAAATGATTAATGACATTGAACACCTTTTCATGTGATTTTTGGTCATGAATATATCTTTTTTTTTTTTTTTTTTTTTTTTTGCCAGTCTGGATGAACACACTTTTTTTAGTTTTTGTTGTTTTACATTTTTATTGAATTTATTGGTGTGACATTGGTTAATGTAATTATATAGGTTTCAAGTATGCAATCCTAAAAGATATCATCTTTACATTATATTGTGTGCACAACCCAAAGTCAAGTCTCCTTCCATTACCATTTATCTGGACTTTACCCTCTTCTACTCTACCCATCCCCCTTTCCTTCATACTGTTGTCTGTGTCTGTGAGTTTTTTGGGTGTTTTTTTTTTTGTTTGTTTGTTTGTTTTGTTTTTTACTTAAGAATGTCTATTCAGTCCTTTGCACATTTTTTAATTGGGTTGTTTGGTTTTCTTTGTTGAATTTTAAAGTTCTCTTATTATGGGTATTAATTCCTTATCAAATACTAGAGGCCCAGTGCACGAAATTTGTGCACGGGGGTGTGTGTCCCTCAGCCCAGCCTGCACTCTCTCTAATCTGGGACCCCTTGAGGGATGTCCGATGTCTACTGGGATCAGGCCTAAATGGGCAGTCGGACATCCCTCTCAAAATCGAGGACTGCTGGCTCCCAGCTGCTTGCCTGCCTGCCTTCCTGATTGTCCCTCACCACTTCTGCCTGCCAGCCTGATCACCCCCTAAACATTTCCCTGTCAGCCTGATTGATGCCTAATTGCTCCCCTGCCAGCCTGATTGCCCCTAACTGCCCTCCCCTGCAGGCCTGGTCACCCCGAACTGCCCTCCCCTGTAGGACTGGTCACCCCTAACTACACTTCCCTGCATGCCTGGGTCCCCCCCAACTGCCCTTCTCTACAGGCCTAGTCTCTCCCAACTGCCCTCCCCTGCTGGCCTGATCGCTCATAACTGCCCTCCCCTACTGACCTGATCCCTCCCAGCTGCCCTCCCCTGCTGACCATCTTGTGTTGGCCATCTTGTGTCCACATGGGGGCAGTCTTCTTTGACCACATGGGGTCAGCCATCTTATGTGTTGGAGTGATGGTCAATTTGCATATTACTCTTTTATTAGATAGGATAGAGGCCTGGTGCATGGGTGGGGGCCAGCTGGTTTACCCTGAAGGGTGTCCTGGATCAGGGTGGAGGTTCCCTTGGGGCATGGGGTGGCCTGGGCGAGGGGCCTGTGGTGGTTTGCAGAACAGCCCCTCAGCAACCCAAGCGGAGGCCCTGGTATCTGATATTTAATTTCTATAATTATTGCCGGGGAAACCCAAGCCTCCTGTTCACTCCATGGCCTCAGCCATTTTTGTTGGGATTAATTTATCTTCTATAATTAAAACTTTGTAGCCTTGAGCATAGGCCTGGACTGGCCAGGGTGTGCAGGAAGCTTGGCTTGGGAAACCCAAGCACCCTGCTCGCTCTGTGGCCACAGCCATTTTGGTTGGGTTAATTTGCATAACTGCTCCTGATTGGCTGGTGGGCGTGACTTCTAGGTATAGTGGAAGTATGGTCAATTTGCATATCACTCTTTTATTAGATCGGATATGATTTGTAAATACTTTTTGCATTCTGTGGGCTTTTTTACTCTGTTGACACTGTCTTCAGATAAACAAATGTTTAAATTTTTCATGAAGTACTGTGTCTACTTTTTCTTTTATTGCCTGTGCTTTTCTTGTTATGTCCAAGTAAACATTGCCAAATGAAATGCCATTTAACTTTTGCCCTATGTTCTTCTAAGGTCTTACTTTTAGGTCTTTGATCCATAGTGAGCTAATTTTTGCATATGGTGTTAGGTAAAGGTACAACTTTATTTATTTTTATGTGTGTGTGCATATTCAGTTTTTCCAGCATAATTTCTTGGAAAGATTGTCTTTTCTCCATTTGATGATCTTGGTATCTTTGTTAAAAGTCATTTTACCATATATTTGATGGTTTCCCTTTGGGCTCTCTATTCTAATACATTTGTCTGTATGTCTGTCTTTATGTCAGTACCAAACTGTTTAGATTACTGTAACTTTATAGAAAATTTTTTAAATCAGGAAATGTGAGTCCTCTAACTTTGTTCTTTCTTTTCAATATTGTTTTGTCTATTTGAGGTTTCTGGAGGCTCCATATGAATTTTAAAAGGGGTTTTTCTTTTTCTGTAGAATATGTCATTTGGATTTTGATAGATTACAGTGACCCTATAGACCATTTTGGATAATGTTAACATCTTAACAATATTAAATCTTCTAATCCATGAACATAGAATGTATTTCCATGTATGCATTCTTTAATTTCTTTAACCAATGTTTTGTAATTTTCATTGTACATTTTTCATCTACTTGTTCAAATTATCGATAGTTCCTAAGTGTTTTATTCTTTTTGATGCTGTTATAAATTGAATTGTCTTCATAATTTCATTGTTAGTATATAGCAATGGAATTAATTTTTGCATGTTCATTTTGTAACCTGTTACGTTGCTGAATTCATTAGAACAGTTTTTAAATAGAATCTTTAGGATTTCCATTAGATCATATAATTTACTAATAGAGATTATTTTACTTCTCCCTTTACATTTTGAGTATCTTTTACTTTTTCTTGCCTAATTGCTCTGCCTACAACCTCCAGTACTGAGTTTAATAGAAGTTGCCAAAGTGGGCATCCTTACCTTCTTCCTAACCTTAAAGAAAAAGCTTTCAATCTTTCACAATTGAGTATGATCTTCCCTATGTTTTTTTTTTTTTTCATATATGCCTTTTATTATGTGGAGGTAATGTCTTTCTGTTCTTATTTGTTGAAGGTTTTTTTTTATCATTAAAGGATGTTGAATTTTGTTTAATGCTTTTTCTGCATCAATAGAGATGATCATGTGGGGTTTTTTCATTATATTAATGTGGTGCATTATACTGATTGATTTTCATATGTTGAAACATCTTTATATTCCGGGAACAAATGCAACTTGGTCATGGTGTATGATCATTTCTTATTTTCAATTGCAGTTGACATATAATATTATATTAGTTTTAGGACATTATATAACTTAGCAAGTGTTCATCCTGATAAATCTCATACCTATCTGACATAATATTATTAGAATGGTGACTATATTCTCTATGCTATACTTTACATCACAGTAACTATTCTGTAACAACCAATTTGTATTTCTTAATCCCTTCACCTTTTTCACCCATCTTCCCAGCCTCCCTCCCATCTGGAAACCATCAAAATTTTCTCTGTATCTATGAGTCTATTTTTAAAAAACAAACAAACAAACAAACAAACAAACATATTTTATTGATTTTTTACAGAGAGGAAGGGAAAGGGATAGAGAGTTAGAAACATCAATGAGAGAGAAACATCAATCAGCTGCCTCCTGCACACTCCCTAATTAATGGGTATGTGCCCACAACCAAGGTACATGCCCTTGACTGGAATTGAACCTGGGATCCTTGAGTCTGCAGGCTGACGCTCTATCCAAAGCCAAACTGGTCAGGGCCTATGAGTCTATTTCTGTTCTGTTTATTCATTTCTTATATATATTTTTATATTCAGTGGTTGATATATATGTATTTATTGCTATTTTATTGTTCATATTTTGATCTTTTAAAAAATTATTCTTTTTAAAGAAGATCCTTTAACATTTCATGTAATACTGGATTGGTGGTGATGAACTCTTTTAGCTTTTTCTTGTCTAGAAAGCTCTATATATGTCCTTTGATTCTAAATGATAGCTTTCCAGGTAGAGTAATTGTAGGTCCTTGCTTTTCATCACTGAATATTTCTTGCCAATCCCTTCTAGCCTT